GGGGGGGTCGTCCGAGCAACGGCATGCAAAACAGAAAGGCTTTCTGCTGAGTGCAGAGCTGGTCTTCTTCAATCGCAAGCGGCTGCACAGGAGCTGGGCATCTGACGGGGCATGCGAGAGTCACATGCAATGCTGTTGTGTCAGCACAAGCCGCGGCTCCGTCCCCACCTGTGGTAGCTGAGGCTGATGCCCAGGCCGCCGGATATGACATACCTATGATGTCATCGATTGGGGGAGGGGGCCGAAGGCGCGGCCCAGGTATATGACATAGGGTGTGATGCAGCGCCCCCCCCCCCCCCCCCCCCCCCCGGGCTGAGGGGTGTGCGGACACGTCAGCCGTCAAAGGCATGGATTATCACATCCAAATCTGCGACGTGTTGCCAGCAGCGAGGGAAAAACCCTGCCTCCCTCGGGGGGGTTACGGCCCCCAAGGGCGAGGCTGCTGCAGGTAAAGGCATGCATGCAGGATGAGGCACCGGCCCTTGATACAAGCTGACACCACCATGCTGACCTCACCACGTGAGCATGAGCTGCAGCGCCTCTGGAGAGTAGGTGAGCGGCCCCAGCACGAGCGCAGCCCTGGGGCGGGGGTGAGAGGACGGCAGGGCGCAGGCACAGGCGGTCTGTAAGGCGGCAGCCGGGGTGGCTGGCAGGGTGGGCTGGGCGTGGCGGGCTTGACTGCCAGTGGTGGCAGCATCCACACGGCGACAGTCACATGCTTTGGTGCGATTTTCAATAGCACATGCAAAACCCTCACGCACACACACGCACACACAACATACACACACACACACACACACACACACACACACACACATACAACACGTACACACAGCATGCGACATGTCCCCACCCAGACATGGCGCCGTAGAAGACCAGGCGAGCCACGTCGGTCTCCGTCCACGACCGTTCCCGCCAGTAGGGACGTTTCTGCGCAGGGAGTGGCACAATTGTCCTTTGACTTATGTATTACATCAGTTAGTGATGATATCCAATGCAAACGTCAACTAGCGAGGAGCGTTCCAACGCAATGGGCTAACGCCTTTGCCATCCACAACTGCACATGGTGGTTGCAGCCCATGCAACCACGTCAATCTGGGTGCAGCCCCCTCGCAATCGCAAACCCCTGCCCCACTGCAACCGCCCTTTGCGCTTCAAGCATGCGCCCGCAAATGCTGCCCGAGCCAACCCACCTGCTGCACGGTGAGGTTGCTGAGCGGCGGCGTGTAAGAGGTGTAGGGCGAGTTGGCCAGCTCCTCTGAGGTTTCCGAGCGCGGCCCGCATGATGTTTGAACATGTGAGTTTTGACATCCGGGCGCAGTCGCGGACAAAGGTGAGGCCCCAACACCGCCGGCTGAGAGCTCGGTATCAGTTAGGTAGGGCGGGCGGAAGCAGCAGCCGGGGCCGGCACCGCTGAGCGGTCGGGCACAGGCCGCCTGGCCAGGCTGGAGGGCAGCCTGCTCCTCACCTGGGGTGACGTCCTGCTTGGGCGAGGTCTCGATGCCAAGTAGCTTTACGAACGCCTGCGTTCATTCGACACGACGGGACTGCTTCATCGCGGGTGGCAGTGGGGCAGCCGAATCCAAACACTGCGAATGCGCGGCATGCAATAAAGCCTGCCACTCTTAGAGCTGTGCCGCCGCTTGGAACACATGCACGCTGCTGGGCCGAAGTCTGCATCTGACGCCGTTGGTCAACACGTGTCCGCACCTGGCTAACGGCCTTGCGGCTGCCCTTGCTGCTGCTGACGCGCTCAACCTGAACCTCTGTATCCTGCTTGACCGCCGCGCGCACCGCCAGCGACCGCCTAGGCCAGCGGCCCCGTCCGCCATCCAGACACTGGCAGGGTAGGGCACGCAGCAGTGGTGCAGCGCCGAGCACTGCACTTGATGCCGCTGGGCAGAACCTGTGCGCGTCGTGCGTTGAATTTTGTAAACTAGTGCGATTTTTCTTAACGCACGCTGCTTAGCCACTGCTGTGACACCTAAATGAGCTGGCTCACCTGCTCTGCACAACCATTGTGGAGCAGTCAGGCCGCTGGTGCGGATCTTCAGATTATGGGTGTGGAAGCTTACACGTAAAGTTCCTGTCTATGGGGTCAGAGTGGAGATCGCACTCTCGTGTGACGCTGTGACACAGCACAGACAACGTTGCAATCCAACGCAATGAAGCACATTTATCGCGTTATCAGCAGCGCTTGATACATCCGCGCTATCTGCCTATCCATGTTTGTGCTTCCAGTGCTCGCTGTCACTGGCGCGGCCCTTCGAGTGAGTAGTGCGGTGACGCAGTATGCGTTGACCACGTGCCATCCTGGTTATTGCCCCTCGCTTCCAATGCTACCTCTTGGATGCTAGCCATGTTTGAGTTATGTTACAGGTTGACCGCCTGTTGTCACCCGATTGCGACCGACGGGAGCGCACCACTGCCGTACTGCTGGCCGCCCGCCGCCGTCGCCGCCGCCGCCGGCAGCGTGCAGGGCGCCCGCCCCCCCTGCCCCGCGCCCCGCGACGCGTACACCGCGCCCACCACGCGCGGCGACGCCCGGTAGCACACCAGCCCCCACGCCGCGCCGCACGCGCAGACGCGCGCGAGGTTGGCCACGTGCCACAGCGCCAGGCGCGACTGGAACGCTCGCAGCAGCGGAAGCTGCCAGTAGCCGGGCGAGCGCGCGGCCTCGTAAGTGAGCTGATCATCCATCGGCGTCGCCACCAGATTTATAACGTACGCCACAACAAACAAGGCCATCGTCGCGGCATCCACGACGCGCAGCCTGCGTCGCGGGATGGCCCGATGGCGAGCGCATGCGCGCGGCTGGTTGCGGGCGACGAGCTCAGCACAAGAGAGCTGAGCAGCGCCTTGCGTCAAGCCTCAACCACAACATACTGAAGCACTCGCCGCCTTCCCCGGCATGGTTGCTTGGGTGATTCCATTGGAGCCATATGTGACGCAAATGGCAGCAACAAGCAGCTGCGCCGCACCTCAGGCCGAGGGGTTCAAAGCCGCCTATCCGGTCGAACGCCATGCGGCTGGCGGCTGCCACCATGCTCAGGCTCAGAAGCCCGAGGTAGGCGCGGTTGACCTGCGCGGCAGGCGGCGGGCGCCGTCTCATTTTAGGCTATGTGCGGCAGCGCCCGGAGACAAGTGTGGCGCCGCTGGCGTTCCAACGCGAAGCTGTAGCCGAAGGTGGGGAGGCGGACCCCACTGCGGCAGAGCACCAGGTAAGGAAAAAACAAGACAGACGCGCTCATGCAACGGCAGCAGGGATCAACAAAGTGTCCTGCGGCGCCGCCGACGTGAGCGCGTCTGGCCGGCTGCAGCTGCCGCGCACCTGCTGCGCGACGGGCGAGTAGGTCGCCAGGAATGCCTCGGGCCCCGCTGCTGCAGATAGCAAGTACGTCTGGAAGAACCCAAGCAGCGCCAGGCCGCCGCACAGGCCCTGCAGGGGTGTGAGCGCATATGCACATGTGCGCTCTCTAGAGTATGCTTCACTGGGCGCTGTGCCCGAACGCCCGTGGTTGTCGTTTTAATCAGACCCACAGGTGTGCCCACAGCAACACATAGCCACTTGTAGCGCGTCAGTGCACGCACATCAATCATGGGCTTCCCACATGCGGAGGGTGTGTCCATGATGCTGGCCAGTGACACGTCAGTGGCCAAACCTGCACACTGCTCGCACCTGTGCAAACATGCCGAGCACCCCGCTCCAGTGGCCCATCGTGTCAGCAAAGTCTGTGATGCCCTTCAGCAGTCCCCCCTCCTCCTCCGCCTCCCAGTCACGCGGCCGACGCGCCAGCCGCCACCTGCGCCGTGCACACGCATGCCCAGCCGGTTGAAAGCCTCAGCGGCCCTGCCTCCTACGACACGCTGTCACACATAGGTGTGGGCCTGCAACCCGCACCTGCTGCTGTTGCCATCCGCGTATGCGATTTTGCTCGCTGGAAACAATCAGAATCCCAAGCCACGCACCTGAGCCATGCCCCGCAGCCGCCCTCGCCGCCAGCATGCACCGGGTAGAACGCGCCCGTCCGCCAGTCCTCCACAAAGCGACGCGTCGGGGCGGCTCCGCTCCTGGCGGCGCCCTCGCCGGCGCGCGTCAGCAGACCAGTGTCGGGGTCAAACAAGTAGCGAGGGCCCGCCATGGCGTCAGAGGGGCCTACAAGACCTGCGGGATCCATGGCATGCCATGTGTACAGCTGTGGCAAGTGCTAATACGCGGCGGAGTGTGGGCCGTTTCACCCAGGCAGAGCGGCATGGCGGTAGCACGTCTGCGTGCTCATCGGTGAAAGCTGCAAGGGTCACGAACCTCACCTTGAGCAGCGCTCTCGTCCTTAGCCGCGGCAAGGTCTTCCCCACTGCCATCCTGGTCTGCCGCCGTGCTGGCCGCCTCAGCATGCATCAGAGCACCAGGCACCTTGGCGGTGGGCGGCTTTGCGTCCCTGCCAGGGGCCTGTGGATGGTCGCCCTGGTTTGCGCGAGCACTGGCCCGCTGCGAGTCTTTCCGCTGCAGCCGCTGCTGCTCATGCCACTGCTGCTGTGTCTCCTCATGCTTCTCTTGGTCCTGCTGCTGCTGTTGCTGCTGTTGTTGTTGCTGTTGCTGCTGCTGCGGCTGCTGCTGCTGCTGCTGCTGCTGCTGCTGCTGCTGCTGCTGCTGCTGCTGCTGCTGCTGCTGCTGCTGCTGCTGCTGCTGCTCGTCGCCACCCGCAAAGAGGGCGTTCCTGTAAGTGGTAAATTGCAGGCCCCCGCCTTCAGGGTTCTGTTGTTGAAGCTGCTGTGTCTTCGCCTCCAGGGCTGCATGTGCAGCCGCTGCAGAGGTTGACTGCAACGCTGCTGGCTCGCGTGCGCCGCCGACAGACCCATCCGTCCTGAGTCGGCTCGCATTCCGCCGGATCGCAGCTATGTTGAGCCCAGGCGAGGGGGCCGCATCCCGCTCAAGGCTGGCCTGCTGTTGCTGGGCAGGCGTGCCTGCGCTGTTGGCGTCGAAGGTCTCGCCTGCGCGGCGCCTGGACATGACGGGTGGGATGCAGCACGCGCGCAGCAGTGCGCGATGCCAATTCACGTGTGCTGTCTACTACCGTACGCGTGATGCAGCAGATGAGTAGGAATCACTTCCTGGTCTTTGTTTGAGATTGTATTGTGTACTTCACGTGTATATTTCAAGCATTCAATTTTGGTCAACACCACGCAGGCTTGGAAAGAGGCTGCAAATTCGGGAAAATGGCGTGAATCGTTGTACCGTCTCTGATACCTGCATCCATCACAGCGGCCATGAGTAAAGTGATCTACAGCAGTGACCGCGTCGCCTAAAGTGGGGCTTTTGCCTGTCACTGCCGTGGGTCTCAATGTCATTTTCTTTATCAACTAGCATCGCAGCCCTATCGCGCAGTCGCTTTGACTCCAATGATTCTAGATGGGCGCCCCGTCACGATGATGGCGTTTTGTGATGGGGGGCTGCGATGTACGATCCATTGGAAAAGAAAACAGGGGCACGCGGATTGGAGTGCGACTATACTATCAATCAACGCTTTCCACTTCCAGCAAACTGCTCAGGCCCCTTGTTCAACTGCCGCACCACCAGTGCTGACGCCCCCTCGCGTCGTGCCCGCACCTGCAGCCTCGCTGCCCGCCGCAGTGCCGCCCCCGCCAGCAGCAGCCCCCAACACCATCCAGCACCATGGCCGAGACGATCACCACCCAGGTCGTGGGCAAGGTCCAAGTCCCAGCCGGCGCGACCAAGGAGAGCACGGCGCCGCATGGCCACCGCTACACCTCCCACATCTCAAGGCCCTATGACGACGTCGCGCCCGAGATCCAGGTGCGCGGCCACCAGTCAACTGAATGTGCAATTTCCGGCCCTGTGCCGGCGCCAAACGCACCGCGAGCCCCACCGCTCAGCAGCTGGTTTATTTGTGATCAGCAGCATGTGCGTGACGACGGCCGCTGTCGGCTTGCACCACCGTGCCAACTTTGACTCGGGCCCCGCCTCGTGCTCCTTTTCGTTGCCCATGCCATCGCTCCCGTCAGGACCTGGTGCGCACCGTGATGGGGCTGTACAGTCGTGCCTCCTTCAGCACGGACGACGGCCAGAAAATCCTGTTGCGCTTCGTGCACAACGGTGGGGAAGCACAGCAGACGGCCCGCGAGGGGCAGTTGCGCGACTGGCCGACTCGGCTCGGAGCTGATAGTGATGCATGCTGATAAATTCGTTGTTCAAGGCCAGGGCCGCTTGGTCTGGGGTGTTCAAGGTCATCAAACTGTTGATGTTGCTTTTTCCCCTCGTGATGCCCGCTGAGCTTGCGTCAAGCGTGACGGAACGCCGGGGCTGCCCAGGGGCTGCAAGCTGGCTGTGTCGCCTGCACCTCCAGCTCAATGGCTCAGAGTCGGGACCTGAAGCTGAGCCGGCTCCTGCATACGCACATACGCACCAATCTACCCAATGTCAGCGACGGAGCGCTGCGCGCATCGCTCCTAATTTGCCTTGCACCCCGCCCTGCCGCCCCCACGCCGCGCCCTTGCTTCCCCAGCTGTGTGGGACACGCCGCTCTTCTTCGCACGCGGCACCGAACGCATGCGCGTGCTGGCGCGCGGGCTGGGGCTGCCGTTCTGGCGCGTGGGGACGACGCCGCGGCTGGTCACAGTCTCCATGGTCAACGACGCCCTGGTGAGAGCCAAATGCATGTGGTGCCCTCAGGGCAGCCCGTGCCCTGAGCCCATGTCTCCACAGGCTGTGGCAACATGATGGGTTTATACATGCGTTGTTTGATGCGACACCAACCACTTATGACCAGCAGCCTGCACGGGCGCGACGACACGCCCTGATTTGTGAGGGTTCGAAGGCGGACCCGAGTTCTGTCAAGCGTTGCAGCAAGGGCGGCGTGCCAGTTGCGAGCGATCAAACGGCGGGCAATGGAGCTGCGGTCTCTCGCACCCCAATTAAAGGTCAGCCACCCACAGCAACCCCTGAAACCAGAAATCCCAACCCCGAACCAGCACCCCTGGGCCGCATCCATGTCGATATCGACACAGCTGTGGTCTCATCCCATCCGCACAGCAGCCACCTGCAGCCAACCCTTTGAACCCTGAACCCTGACCCTTAATCCCAGGGCCGCATCGTTGTGGAGGGGGTGCTGGAATTCTACCCGCGGCTGCCATGGCCGCTGAGCGCCGTGGCCCCGGAGAGCTTCCCCCTGCACGTGTCCTGGAGCATCATCGCGCGCGGCGAGGACGACCGGTGGGCAGGCGCCGACATGCAGGAAGCCAAGCTGCTCGCTGCTCGCTGCTCGCTGCTCGCTGCTCGCTGCTCGCTGCCGGCTGCTCGCTGCTCGCTGCCGGCTGCTGGCTGCTCGCTTGCGGGCACTGCGGCGTTGCCAGGGCGGTGTCCGCGTCCTCACGTGCTGCGCAACTGTCAGCCTTATGTCGTCAGGCCGCCAGATTACCGAGTCAGGTGTCTTACGCAAGGGCGCGCGTCGTGCCCACGCAGTGGTTGCTTCAGCACAAAAGCCCGGGTTCAGCGACCTCACCAGGGTTCGTTGCTGCTGGCAACCCCCAGCCCTCACACAACGCCGCCCCCGCTGCAGGATCATGAGTGTCACCGAGTCCCTGCACAACGTGCCCAAGGTGCGCGGCCAGTAGGCTGCCGCGCCTGGCCAGCGGCCCCTGGCAGCGGGCGCCCAGCTCAGGCTGAACAGTGTGCGCATGTGCTGCCGGCTGGCTGGGTCGGCCCACACCTGGCGTAAGCGCGCCGCCGGCGGGGCGACGCTCGCTGGGATATGCGGCTGGCATAAGTTTGCAGCTGGTTCTGTGCTTGCGTGCTCTTGCGGCTTCTGGTGCGACCTTTGCTTTGCCGGCCTGGCAGTGTTCGTTGCAATCAAATGTCAAAAGATAAGCTCGTCATTCGCTCCCGCCGATGCTGCCGCCCAATCACATACTCCTTGCTGCACGATGCAATGGCACACGTGCAGCCCCCAACAACATGCCCAGCGCATCGTTCACTGCTGGCTTGACACGCATGTGCCCATCCTGCTTGCAGGTGCCTTACGTGGTGCGCGCCGCCGCGGCCACGGCCCTCTCGACCGCCGCCCTCACAGTCTTCTGATACACGCCGAGCCTCAGCACGCGAAGCAGGTGGCGGGAGAGAACGGCGGCAGGATAAGGCCTCACTGGCATAAGGAGGGAACGGGCCCTTCAGCATGATCAGGCGCTCGCACGCCGGGCACTCCAGCTGCACGGACGCTGCACGTATGCTGTGCGTGTGCGGTGCTGGTGGCCATGCAGGCATGCAGTGGTATTTCATGCATCCGACACGCTTTCGCCCATGCAGAGGGGTTTGGCTTCCCTGCTGCATTGGACACATGGTGTTGCAACCAATCACCTGTCTTGTGCGTACCGCTGTTGGGCTCGATTCCGCACGTGTCACGGGCTCGATGTCTTGCGGATGCATTTGTGTGCATTGGCTTTGACGCATGCAAAGCCAACTCACCCGCCGGTTCGGATCGACCAAGTTGTTTGACAATTGTGTGTTACCCGTACGCAACAGCAGCAGTGTGTCGGGCTAGGCACCCAGTCTTCTCCAGATACACTGGCTAGAGTCCCAGCGGGCGCATCGAGTAAAGCCCGAGGTAAATTCCGAGGTTGACTCACAGACTAAATGCAAGCAGCCTCGGTTGGCAAGGGATAACAGTCTGTCCTAAGCAGGTTTCAGTCCCTGTATCAAACCATAGAGCCCTACATCGCACAGGAGCCCTAGCTTTGACAATAATCTGACATGGCGGCGACGAAGCAGCAGCTGCTGCAGGCTGGCGAGGAGGATCGTACATCATCCACAGCCAACAGCGCCCCCTCATGCTGTTTCCCTTGCCGAACAACACCATCCTCTCGCCACGCACGCAACGGAAGCATGGCGCCCAAAGAGCAATGCTTCGTAGCACTCCCCGGCACGGGCGACGCCAAGCACAGCCCGATCTACCGCAGGCCCACTTCTAAGGATGCGTTCCCCACTTTGGAGGGCGTCACGACGCTCTATGAGCTGTTCAGCCAGAGCGTTGAGAAGTTTGGTGATCTTCCGGCCCTGGGCCGGAGGGTCGTCAAGGTGCGCGCGCGACCTGCGTCCTGGCACCAGCATGTAACTCGAGGCAATCTGCGCCCCGCGGCAGGCGTTTGCGGGATGTGCCCCGAGGCGCGCGCCCCGGCAGGTGGTAGCACCACACCCCCAGGGCGCTGCTCCATTAGCAATGTTCCGCCACCTGCCGGCACCCGCCGCTGCCTCGCCGCCGGGCATGCAGGACGGCGTGGCTGGCGACTTCAAGTTCATCACATACAAGGAGGCCAGCGAGCTTGTCGCCCAGATCGCGGGCGGCATTGCCAAGCTGGGCCTCAAGCGCCAAGACCGCGTCGGCGTTTACGGCGCAAACTGCGAGGAGTGGATGATCGCGATGCAGGCGCGTGTTTGGCGGGCGCCACTGGATATAGACGCCAGCGCCGCGGGGGCCAGGCCAGCGCCAGCGCCGCGGGCGGCAGGCGGGCGCCCGGGCGCCAGGTGACGCGGCCAATGCCGGGGCGGCATCGGCTCAGCGCCGACCCCGCCGCGCCAGGCCGCGCCACGCTCGTCAACCGCAAACGGCGCCCGCTCATGTTGCGGGAAGTCCTGAGGATTCAGATTCAACGCTGGCAGCTGCGGTTGGGCGTCCCTCATTGGCGGACTTGTGGGCTCTGCACCACCGCCCGCCCCAAAGTGGCCGCTCCGCACTGCGCAGCCACCGCC